TGGATGTATGTGTGTGTGTATGTGCGTGTGTGTGCGTGTATGTATGTATGTTAGGATACAAATTTTCGTCGACGATTTCGGGAACACGGATCAACCGATTTGAATAATTCAAAAAACATTCGATTCGTATTGATAAGGAGACGTGCTGATTAGTTTTTGGCGAAGGCAGGTCTAGCCGTTCCGCAGATCGGGGCAAAAAGTGCCTAAAACGGTAACTCAGTTTTTAAGAGAACGGAGCGTCCGATTTGAATAATTAAAAAAATATTTTATTTGTATTGACTAAATGAAGAACTGTTCAAATTTTTGGAAAGGCAGGTCCAACGACTTTGCACATATGCACATCAAATAATTAGATATTTTATAGAGATTTTAACAATAAGTATAAATTTTGTTTACATTCCTAAGGGTTCCGTACTAATGTTTACGCGTTAGACGGCGACGCGGCGCTTACGCGCTTCGATATTTCGTCTTTATGCAGTTAAAGCAGTACAGTTGCTTTGAAAAAAAGTTCAGAATTTCCAAAATATTTCAAACTAAATGATATAGGATAGAATGATTTAATATGGTTCGAAATTCTATTAAAAGTTTCAAATCATTGATCAACTTTTATTGATTATTTTTAATTACTCGAATTTATTGAATTGCGGTGCGGGAAGTACCAGCAATTTGCCTTAAGGCACGTTGCCTTAATTGCCTTAAGACAGAATTCAACTTACAGCTAGTTGCGGCTTTTATAAAACAATGTGTTTAATTTTTTTCTGGTTTACTTTCTGAACGATGATACACATACGTTGTTGAAACGTACATAATTATAGTTTTTTATTTCGACTATTTGGCTGCAAATAATAATTTCAAGAATACTTTTCAACGTGGAACAAAATTAATCAAAATATGAGCATGATTTATTGGAAAAGGACGCATTATCAGAAATAAACCGCATTTTGAATAATGTTAACTTTGTTTGCAGCTAACGATGCCAAGAAGACTGCGATTGATGCCTTTGATGAAGAGTTTTCGAAAGCAGAAAAGGCTATCGATGGCAAAGTGCAAGATGTTACAAATGCAGCCGATGCCAAATTAAAACAAGCAGGAGAGACACTGGATGGTACATTGAAAAATGTCGGACAAGCAATGGACAATACAGTTGATCAAACTACCGGCTTTGTCGACAACACGTTGAAACAAGCCGAGAGCGCTATCGATAATACGATGCACGCTGCGAGCAGCGCAGTGGATTCAAAAATAAAAGAAGCTGATCAGTTTATCGATGGAAAACGAGAACAAATTGGAAAAACTGTAGCCGACGCCGCTGGAAAAATTCACGGAGCTACAGATAATGCAGCTTCTGGTGCTCAAGGCCTTCTTGGAAAAGCAACTGCAGGCTTATTTAAATAGCTTGCTTAATTTATCTTGCTAAATTTTATGTCTATTTTAAATGAAATATGCAGATTTGCTGATAATTATAGCTCTCTGAGTTTGTCGGAGAATGGATTTATTACAAGTCAATGAATGTGTGATTTGAAGCTTCAAACTAATAATTTTTCAAACAATAGCATTACAATATCTCTTGGTGTTTTCAATAGGTGTGAACACGATTGCTATAATATTGTTGAATTTTTCATTGCATGTTCCATGAATATAAATCGCACAATTACCTGAGTGGTTACTTATGCCTTAAATCTTGTGTTATTAAATTTAATGTAAGATATTCAATAAATATAAATGTTATAAGTAAGTTAAAAGTATATTAACAAAAAACACCTTTTTATTTTAATCCTTTTCATATACCCGTGTTTATTAAAATTTACTCAAGTTATATAGAAATATTGATTTGCATACTTAGAAAATTTAATAATTTGTTCATAATTTTAGAAGAATGTGTGGACTGAATTTATAAATATGAAAACTATGCAACAGACATTAATATCCATGCATTTATCACTTGTTCGTAAAGTTCTAAGTGATTTTTAATCTCTACATGTACTTCATATATTTTGGAAACTTTAAAGACCTTGCTTTTCAAAACTCGTTTTATATTTCTCACTCATTAAAATAGCATAATTAATTAGTGTAAAAATACACTCTTTTAATCCAAAAAGGACATTTTGATATATACAAATATGATAAATCATGCTTAATGATAATATTTTTCCTTTCAGCATTAACTGTAATTACACTTTCTTCACAATTTGCACTACATCTTCATCACAAAGCACATGATCCTTTCCGACTTTTTGCGGTTGATGTTTAACAGATGACCCCCAAACTAATGCACTAAAAGTGAAATTGAGTGATGATAATTTTTTTAAGGTTGGTTATTAATCAATACAGCTATTATATTATCAAAAATACGAATGTATAATACTAGAATATTATATCTATTATGAATATTATATATATATATATATATATATATATATATATATATATACACATATATAACATTGAACGTTTCTTTAATAATACTTACTATTTGAACTCTTTAGCAATGGTTCTGTGCAACTTGTTGCAGAAATCCTCAACACTTGTTCGATCACTATGTAGTACTATAGGCGAGTTATAATCTGGCAGTTGTCCTTTTGGCTTTGTATAACTAAAGGTTGTTAAAGTCTTAGATTTCATTACCAATAACAAAAAAAAAATATTATAAGTAGACACTTACATGCGAACCAATTTTAAATATTCCCACATTTTCTCAAGCAGATCATCAAAATTCCAACGATGATGTGCAGAAATAGGAACACAATGGGGAATTTTATAAATAACATCTAATTCCTCAATGCTTATTTGATCTATGTAAATATTTAACATAATAGGTAAATTTTCTAATTAAAAAGAGAATTTACATTTATATGTTCAAATATACCTATTTTGTTTAATAAATATATGCAAGGGACATATATGCGATTTCCCTCAATAACATCTATAAGATCATCGCTGGTAGCATCGTAACGTAGAGTGATATCAGCATTATGAATTTTGTATTCTGACAAAATAGTTCTCACAGTTTCTAAGTCTAATTCTGATTGTGGACACTGAAAAAAAAGAAAAACAAAACAATTTATATAAAACTAATATGTTAAGTCAGGCAGTAATAACTTTCATAGCATGTTTAATATTATATCCTTACAGTCACATTCAGATTAATTCCTCCTTTATCCTTTTTCCTGTAGTGAATATTAGGTGGTTGTTTATTGAGTCTTAAGCCAAATCCTTCCAATTCATGTTCAAGAAGTTTTTTATGTTGCAATGGTTTTAACACATCCAGCACAATGAAAATCAAACCACATGTACGTGCTACAGCGATTACTTGACGACCACGACCCTTGCCATCTTTAGCACCTTCAATAATTCCAGGTAAATCCAACAACTAAAATAATTTATAAAACAAATGAGTCACTGATTAATTGTTGTTGGTTGGAAACTGCAAATAATATTCTCAAGTAATATCACTTATTTAGTCAAAGTGTTTTAGTTAAAGATTTATTTTGAATATATTATAGTGTATTGCATTAAAAAAATTTATTAATTTATAAATAATGTACCAATGAACATGGTCTCATACCACAAACCATAACTCACTTGAATTTTAGCACCTTTGTATTTAATACAACCTGGAACCGTTGTTAAAGTGGTAAATTCATAAGCTGCCACTTCTGAATAAACTCCTGCTAAAGTTGATAAAAGTGTAGACTTTCCAACTGACGGAAATCCAACAAATCCTATTCTTGCATCTCCAGTTTTAGCGACATCAAAACCTAATGAAATATTGTTAAATTTTACTTCAGGCATTAGTACAATATATATAGTATAAGTAAAAGTTAGATTTATAGAATCTTATTTAGTCATCACTGTTGCTATATGTTTGAGGGTGAAAAAAATTCTCTATAGTTTTGAGTTCACTAAATCTCTGAATGTACTGATTTGTATATACCTTCACCAGCTGCTCCGCCACCTCCTTTGGGGGTAATTAGCTCCCGTCTTAATTTGGCAAGTTTAGCTTTCAATAACCCTAAGTGACCAGATGTTGCTTTATTTTTTTGGGTACGTGCCATCTAAAATTATCAATAAACATTTTATTCCTTGACTTTTGCATAGTTATAGATAACCTAAAAATACCTCAGCCTCTATAGCTGCTATCTTTTCCAATATAGTACTCATCTTGAAATAAACTTTGAAATAGAATTTGGAAAATAGTTATGAATTATAAGTGTAATAAAGTATATTAATATATTAGATAGTAGAATTTGAAAAATATACAGCCGCTTTTCTACGTTGGCAAAAGTTTATGCATGTGCTTTTTGTCCAAATTTCACTTTGACAGTTCGTATTGTATCATATCACCGTGGCATAGAACAAGTATTATGTAGACGGAAATAGTTAAGAGCAAACACACAGAAACACAGAAATCAAAGAAAAAGATAGTCTCCCAAAGAAAAGGATATCGAAGTCACACAAGCGCGAATTCGAATCAAGATTCATGCAAAAGCTGCATTTATTCGGGAAATTCACAACATTCTTGAACAATTTACAACCATTTCAGACAGTTTACAATTTTTTTATATCATTTCTGGAAAGTATAAACCGTTAAAAACATATATATATATATATATTATCCATGACTGCATATGAATAATCAAATTAAAGTCCTCCAAATCCCATACTTTGTCAATTTGTTTAATTTTTAATTCGTGTTTCATTTCTTAAGTTGTTATTTGTTCTATTTCAAAAATTCTTGTTTACGAAGTACGAGAAGAGACAGCCATCTTGTTTTCTCTTTCATCTTTGTTATTAAACCCAGTTTCTGATTATGAGAACAAGCTGTATACAATAATACAATAATACGATATAAATTGTGAGTGTGAATATGTGAGCATTGCTTATTCATAGAGTTATGGGAAACCAAATACATTTATAAACAAAGATTAAATTTTATTGGTTTTAAAGTGTCGAAAGCAAGTGTAAGTTTTATTTTTGTCTCTTAGGTTATATGATTTTTTTAAAGAATATTTGATAATGTAAGACATTTATTAATATGTTAGCAATGCATCGATAATGGAATAGTATTTTTAGGGCTTCAAACTTTATACTATCTTTAATTCCAAAAACGAGCTTATGGATAATGACAATGCTGAGCAATAAGTTCTATTAAATTAAGCATCGTTAAGATATTTTACAATGACAAAATTCGCTCTGTATTATTTAATTTTAGAAGTGTTTTTCTGTTTGTGCATTCAAAATGTTTATAGTAAAGCAGCAATTGATGACAATAGACAATCCTTTCAAGGCTCTATGTTTTGTGAATATTACAATGAAAAATGTAACAATCCAGATGATCACAGTATAGACCAAGAAAAGTGCAAAATTGACTCTGAAGAATGTGTTTATACAGAGGGTATAAAACATTTTCAATGTTTTGTTTTATGGAAAGTTGACAATGCTACCAAGCAGCCTATAATTCATATGAAAGGATGCTTTTCCAGTGGTGAAGACTGCTACAAAAAAAATGAATGTGTTGCTAAAGCACATGAGACTAGAAATGGTTATTTGTTTTGTTGCTGTGAAGGTGACTATTGCAATAAAAGATTTGAATCTCGTAAAGAACTTTCTACTGAACGGCCAGTAGTCAATCATCCTGCAACTAAACCTGGTCATACAGTATTTCATATATTATTATTCACATGCCTAGCTCTGCTTTTAGCTTTTGGCATTATATTTGTGGTCTATTATTTTTTGAAAACATGCAAGGTTAATTACCATGAGTCTCCAACACAAGCTTTACTTCCTACAATACCTCAGTCACCGACTGAAGATCTCGGCCATATTCAATTGCTAGAGGTAAAAGCTTCAGGTCGTTTTGGATCAGTTTGGCGTGCAAAACGTAATGACGATGAAGTTGCTGTTAAAATTTTTCCAGTTCAGGATCAACAATCCTGGCTGGCAGAGCAGGAAATATTCAAACTTCCAAATATGTGTCATCCTGATATTCTTGAATACATTGGTGTAGAGAAGCGAGGTGATCACCTTCACACAGAATTTTGGCTTGTGACAGCATACCATCATCGAGGATCATTATGCGATTATCTGAAAGCTCATACTGTGACTTGGAATGAAATGGGCCGCATAGCAGAATCTATGGCAAGAGGATTAACTCACTTGCATGATGTAATTCCAGGACCAAAAGGAATGGAAATAAAACCTGCTGTTGCTCATCGTGATTTCAAGAGTAAGAATGTTCTCTTGAAAGCTGATATGAGCGCTTGTATTGCTGATTTTGGATTGGCCCTCATATTTCAACCAGGAAAGGCCTGTGGTGATACACATGGACAAGTTGGAACTCGTCGTTACATGGCTCCTGAGGTATTAGAAGGAGCCATAAATTTCACATTGGATGCATTTTTGAGAATCGATATGTATGCATGTGGTTTAGTTCTTTGGGAATTAGCTTCCAGATGCTCTGACCAAGGAATTCCTTGTCCAGAGTACAAATTACCATTTGAAGCAGAAGTTGGTACACATCCAACATTAGAAGAGATGCAGGAAGCAGTTGTAACAAAGAAAGTACGACCAGCAATTTTAGATCAGTGGAAACAACATCCAGGTTTAGCAACCATGTGCAACACTATGGAAGAGTGCTGGGATCATGATGCTGAAGCACGCTTATCTGCCAGTTGTGTTATGGAACGTGTCAGTCATTTGATGCGTTATGACGTACAGCAAAGTGAGGGTCTCATATTAGAGACTAATCCGAAAGTATCTTTGTGATTGAGTTAATGGATATTTACAGTGTTAAATATTTAAATGCATAATGAAATAATTTTATAGAAACAAACAGATTTTTGTGTTATAAATGATGTGTGTATGTGTGTGCATATTCTTGCATGTTTGTTTTGTGTATGTGCATTTGATTACAATGTATGTATTTAAAGTTTGTGAAAAGAATGGGTAATTTTATAAATGTATAAATGTGACATTAGTAAAATGAAAAAAAAAATTACTTATTGTAAGACTTGTTGGAACAAAATGCTCTAATAAATATGTGACAACTATTTTGTAAGAGCTTTACTAATAGCTAAATCTTCACAATATGATGAAATGAGATAAAGTTCATAAAATCAAAGAAAATCTTCAGTTTGAATGCTGATATTAAAGGAATTAAAAATGTTGGAAATAACTGTTTTTTATATGTTTGAGCTGCTGAATGATTACACATAGTGTTCAAAACATACAATAAATAATCCCATGATCTTTGATATTTATTTTTTCTTTTGATGAATTGGCAATTATTTTCTAACAATATGATTCAGTGTTGGATAATCAAATCTTCATATATATTTGTGTTAGTAAATTTGTTTTAAACGGATCATTTGAACCTTCTGTAAATTCATAATACTTTAATATGAATGTGTATATATAATACTAAAATATAAAATACTAATAATATTTTATAAATAATGATATAAATAAATATATTACAAATTTAACTGTAAAATGACAACTTTTTAAAAATTTATTGTTTGTCAATAATAAGTCACATGATAATATTGCTGATTTTGTTGATTTGCCAAAAAATTAAAAATAGTTTTTCAGTGTATTCTTATATTTATTAAGAACATAAATAGATTTTTATAATACATTTTTTTTATAAATTAAATATTATAATTATAATATAAAATCTATTTAATTGCAATATGATTATGTATATTATAATTATGTATATATATTACACTACAGTAATGAGCATAATAGTACTGCTGAGTTCTATAATGTGCTTCTGAATTCCCCAAATAAAAAGAGATAAAATGATATAAGTAATTTAATATTAAACGTTATCTTCAATTATAATATAATAGCCATAAAATTAATGCATGTTATTCAAAAGAGATTTTTTATGCCTTTTAATTGTTGAATTAAATTATTTTTATAAACTTATTTGTGAAAACAAAAATTGAATTATTATAATATGAAAAAAAAATAGCAAGAAAAATTAAACTAAATATTCTAATGTATAGTTGAACATTAAAAAGCATGGAAATATGAAATATGATAGCAAGATTCTCATTAAGTTTCTGAGACTGACATTTGTAAAGTTTATATATTTGCTTTTATAATATTGTATTTTATACTTGCATTTTTAATTTTATGTATGCAATATTTATTCAAAAATATATATATATATATATATTATGACTTTTCTTTAACTATTTCTTTATAAATCCGTATTTTCATATAATGATTATATGGTGAATTCCTTCCCTTCATAGTACTTTTATTTACTTCTTTTTAAATATTGACTGACTTTAATTTTAATATAATCCAAAAGTGTAGTCTTTCACAAATCGTTTATCAAATAAAGAAAATTATTTCAAACAAATTCGAATACCTTTGTAATGTTTGTTTTAACGACATAAAATTATATTTGAAACAAATCGCAAAAAAAAAAATAACTTCGGATTATTGGACGAACATAATTTTTATAACTAACAGATAAGTGCAAAATTTATTTTGTTCCCACATTTTAGCCAAAAGTCATCTCGAATTTTAAAATTTCAAAAATTATGCGAAAGATATTAGTTGAAAATCGTGCTGATTAGTTTTTGTTGAAGATTGGCCGGACCGTTTCTTTGTTCTTAAATTTTTTTATCATTTAGTGAAACTTTGAAATAGAAAATAAGAACAAAAAAACAAATAAAGAAGGGCTACGGAGTGTGTGAGAAATAAGAACTTTACTGAAGAAAATAAAAGGAAACTGGATCGGATTCATATTGAAAAAATAGAAAAATAGAAGAACTAAATAGACTTTGAAGAAGAAGAATGTAGATGACTGACAATGCCGGGGATTTAATAACCGGAAGACGTGGAGGTGGAAATTTGGAAATGCGAATAATAAGTAACAAATAAACAAGGGTGCTTTCACACCAGGAATTTTGCAGATCATTAATTTATATATATATATATATATATATATATATATTTGCACGTAAAATTAGCAAGTAAATTAATCCAATAGAATTCGTACGATCGAAATCTACGGCAAAGAAAATCTCACCTTTGATTCGATTTCCGTACAAAAATAGTTCGAATGTATTCCGGACAAATACATTTGACCTTTTTATGATTATTTCATTCGGGTATCGCTAGGAAAGGGCAGTGCCCATGAGAAATAGTTGGTTCTGCAGTTTATTCCGAACTAAAGGTACAATTTCACAGATGAATAGTTGTAGTAACCTGATTTTTCTGGATTTTCTTAAAAATACAAACTATAACATACTATTTTTTCACAATTACAATTACAGTTACACGTATATGTTTATAAATGTATTGAATAAATATATATATATATATATATATATATATATATATATATATATATTATTTATATAAGTATTGTATACAATAATGAATTTGATATTGACATTGTCTAGTAATCGGTAAAAGTTTATTTTAAGGTCGTGGAAAATAGCTAGATTTGTTATCCTAATATTGAAAATTATTATGAAAAATAATATGCGTTTCAAAAATATTAAACTTTAACTTATTGTTAAAATTATAAAAGCTGATATATGTTCAGCTCAATTATTCAGCTGTTTCTCGCAGCTGAATAATTTCTGCTTCTCAATTCTATTATTTCTCAAATAAATTTCACAAATTGTTGTTAGGGCTTTATATAGTCCATACTTTAAATTTAATTTTTTAAATTTTTGGAAGAAGTTGGATTTCACGAAAAAATTCAACGAAAAAAATTTCAGGAAAATTATTTTATGTTTCCTCGATGTTTCAACTCAATTTGAATCGCTTGAGATTTGGAAAAAAATTATTTGTTTATGTATAAATACATGTGTGAGTGTGTGAGCCGATTTTCGACATTTGCCTGTTAAAATTCTGGATTCAACAATCACACACACACATATATAATATATATATATATATATATATATATATATATATATACTAGCAAACCCGACGAACTCCGTTTCTTTTATATTTGAAAAGGAAAAATTTGATTTTATTATACAACAGTAATAAATTTATTTCGATTACAAAAATGAAGTGTTTTTTAGTTTAACTTCTCTAAGTAAATGAAAGTGAATCCGCAATTTATCCGTTTCATTGAAGTGCTCTTTGGTAGACCACATTTTTTGTTTTTTGGTCTGACGTTAACACAAACAAAGCAGATGATTTTCCAACTCGTGAATAGGCAACGTATAACTGCCCATGTGAAAAACAATGATTCTAAATAATCTATTTGAAATTTAACCCGCAGACACTAAGCGATTGGCCTTGAGATTTGTTATTGCGAACGCAAGGCAAACTGGAAATTGCAATCGTTTGAAGTCAAACGGAAGACCAGTCGGAATCATTGGTATGTCACCAAATCGCCAGCAATTTTTGATTGAATGGCGAAATTCAGTGCGTGTACATCATTATTCTTTGCGGCAATAATTGCTCGTTGACTTAACCAAGCATAATTCTGATAATTCTCACTAATGTCATTACTTGAATTTTTAATTACGGTGTGTGAAGTTCCAGCAGCTTGCATTAAGGCACGATGCCGTGCACAACTAATTTTCTTAGCTATAAACCTTGCGGAGCCCGAGACCTTTGCGTTCTGGAGTTATTTCGTCAGGAAGGAAAACCCGACTATTTTATACATATATAGGAGATAATTTATTTGAAATTATTTAAAACAATTGTTGATTATTGTTATTACTCGAATTTTTAATTACGGCCCGAGACCTTTCCAACAAATGCAAAATTGTCGAAATCGGTTAGTGCGTTCTCGAGTTATTTCGTCAGGAACGAAAACCCGACTTATTTTTATATATATAGAAGATTGTTGATTATTTTTATTACTCGAATTTTCAATTACGGTGCATGAAGTTCCAGCAATTTGCATTAGGGCACGATGCCATACACCATTATTTTTCTTAGCTATAAACCTTGCGGAGCCCGAGACCTTTCCAACAAATGCAAAATTGTCGAAATCGGTTCGTGCGTTCTCGAGTTATTTCGTCAGGAAGGAAAACCCGACTTATTTTTATATATATAGAAGATATATATATATATATACATATATATACATATATATACACATATATATATATATATATATTCTTGCTTAAAGAATTATCTCTTCAATACTATGCAAGAAATCATCAAACTTTGCCAATTAGAGGATCACGATAATTAATCATTGCATTTGATACAAACTTTATATAATCTCGAAACTTTGTAATACTTTAAAGTGTCGTCATTCAATCCTTTGTTTACTTCAAAATTAATTATCAATTCGCTCTTCTCGCGGGATTTTAATTTCTATAATCTGCAAAATGGCTGAGCTGAGTTAGATTATTATTTATAGCTTATTTGTTAATTATAATTTATGAAATTTACGTTTTCTATATTATATACCATTACAGTCAAAATGAATGGTAGCTCTCCTTCGATGAATGATGAATAAAATTATTTATTTTTATTGCAAATTTGTAGAAATATTTTTAGGATTAGGGAGCAAACCAGAATAGTTTTCTTCTAGTTGCCAAAATCCTGGATTTCTAGTTGCCAAAATCCTGGCTTTGTTTATTAATAATGTACCATTCCTGTAATCTTTTCATTGATTTTCGTTTGTGCAAATGTAGGTAATAAACAGCACATTCAAACTATACCAATTATACAAATGGACTCTATTCCACCTTGTAGAAACGATCCTTTCCCGCATAATCGAGTTGAGCTTGTATACATTGAGAGAAACCTAGTAAACTTGTACTATTTGCTTTGAAAGCACCAGATCAACACGAGTCAAAATGATCAAATCGGATTACCTTTTATGACGTGAATTTTGGATGTTGGAAAA